CTGTTTTGGAACTTGAACAATAATAAAGAATTCAGAATAAAACCGTTTCAGTGGGTTCTTTCTTGTGTTCAAAAACAGGTGCTCTTCAAGAACTAGAAGCATAAGGATGTTAAAAACAGGAAAGTATCTCAGACCTCTCTATTGACAACCTTACATACATGCTGTAAATGTAAATACACTGTCCATGTTGTGTGTTTGCATATCTGTTTTTACTTTTCCTTCAAGTTTTCATCTTTTTCACAAGCCAGAGAAATCGAGAAGCCTTTAAGATGAGATAAGATATTCCTTTGTTCATCCCACAGAGGGGAAATTTCAGTTATCATCACAAATATGCATTATTCACTGACGGAAAGAATTCAGCCTCTGTTATAGTTGTCAAACAAATAATATTAACACGGATAGGCACCAGTCTTTGAAAAACTGTGACTTGCCCTTGCTGTTTCTTTGCTGCCTGACACTCGATACACACATACTTTAAGCGTGACAAATCTGCAAAACACAAGCAACTGCTGCAATCTGTGTTGGCACTTGGAAGAAGCAGGAGGAAAAGCCATGTTTTGGTCAAGGTCCTTTCCCAGTGTCAGGGGTTCAGGAATGAGCTGTGGAATGTTAATAAGGTAGAAAAGATCGTGGTCGACAGCACCTACAGTAAATGCCGCACAGATGTTGGCTATCATTGACGCGATCTGCTGTGGAAATGACTTGTGGCCCTTTGAGCTGTAATCATTGCGTTGGGAGCTGTTAGTTTTAATGCGTGACACTCGCGGCCGTGGGGGCGAAACGTCAGAATGAAGTTGCGCTGTAACCCAACTCCAAAATTGTTCTGGCCTATCTTGTTTTTCAATCTCCCTTCGCGTCCACGCCCATCGACACCCCATCTGGACGTGATTATTGGCCTAATCTAGCACCATGTCCCATTTGACACAATGCACCGGCCCGCTGTTGTCTCCCATCTTCCTCCCTTGTCTCCTTTCCTTACCCTGCGTCCTTATTCGCAGGATTGTAGTCTTTGTACCTCTGCTGCTTCTCTCCTTTCTGCCTTGTTGCGGCTGCATCTGTCACCGGCGGAACAGCGAGCTCAAGTGTGGCGCGGTGCCAAAGCCGACAGCTGGCACAAAGAAAAAGAGGAAAAATAAACGATGGAGGGAGGGAGGGAGGTACGGTGGTGGGGGGGGGAGCATGGAGAGGTCGATAAATATCAACAGAAAATTCCAATATAAGTTTTGAGCTGCGCAACACAGTGCAGGAAAGAAAATGAGTAAACAACGTTAAAAAGTTTTACAGGGATGAAACAGGAAGCAGGCATCAAAAGTGTTTATCCTCTAACGCTCAGGACAAAATACCACTTCTCTGTTCTCGGTTTGTTCTTTTTGATGACACTGAAGTGGTTTGAAGAACTTGGAGAGTGGTTTCACTTTTGTAGTCCTAAAACTATTGTAGGAAGTTGGCACACACATAGAATACAAAAACAAATACAACCCAGTGGGTATTTGCTGTCTGTCGGGGTTCTCTCTGGTCTCTCTCTTTGGTCTCTCTTTGGCCTCTCTCTCTGGTCTCTCTCTTTGGTCTCTCTTTGGCCTCTCTCTCTGGTCTCTCTCTTTGGTCTCTCTTTGGCCTCTCTCTCTGGTCTCTGTTTGGTCTCTCTCCGGTCTGTCTCTGGTCTCTCTCTCTGTGTTCTCTCTAGTCTCTCTCTCTGGTCACTCTCTCTGATCTCTCTCTTTGGCCTCTCTCTGGTCTCTCTCTAGTCTCTCTTTGGCCTCTCTCTGGTCTCTCTCTAGTCTCTCTTTGGCCTCTTTCTGGTCTCTCTCTAGTCTCTCTTTGGCCTCTCTCTAGTCTTTCTTTGGTCTCTCTCTGGTCTTTATTTCGTCTCTCTCTGATCTGTCTCTGGTCTCTCTCTGATTTCTCTCTGATCTCTCTCTGGTCTCTCTCTCTGGTCTGTCTCTGGTCTCTCTGGTCTGTCTCTGGTCTCTCTCTCTGGTCTGTCTCTGGTCTCTCTCTCTGGTCTGTCTATGGTCTCTCTCTCTGGTCTGTCTTTGGTCTCTCTCTTATCTGCCTCTCTGGTCTCTCTCTGTTCTTTCTCTATTCTCCATCTCTCTTTGATTTCTCTCTGATCTCTCTCTGATCTCTCTCTGGTCTCTCTCTCTGGTCTCTCTCTCTGGTCTGTCTCTGGTCTCTCTCTCTCTGGTCTGTCTTTGGTCTCTCTCTTATCTGCCTCTCTGGTCTCTCTCTGTTCTTTCTCTATTCTCCATCTCTCTCTGGGCTCTCTATTCTCTCTCTCTCTCACTCTCTGATCTCTCTGAATACTAGCTGATCGACACAAAAAGTCTTGTTGTTATTGGGCCATTGTTGACATTATTTGTATTACTTTTTTTCCTTCAGGTATTATACAACTTTGATTACTGTGCGATAGAGCAACCAGGGGCTAGTGTGCCAGCTCCTCAGAGTGCACAGATTAGAGATTTGGCCCCATCCTCCCTCACACTGAATCATTCCTCTATTGGATTTTTAATTCTCTGCCACGTCAAGCAAACCGCTGGGTGACCCGTTTTGTAAATATTCTCTGTATGATTTGGCTTCACCCCTTCACTTTCCCCATTTTCCCTTGTCTTTCTTCAACCCCAAGAATAACAAATGTGGTAAATCTAGAACATACACATGGAGGCATGGGAGAGCTCGAGTGGAAACATATTTCTGTGTTGTTGAGCCTGGAATCTCAAGAATCACAAGGGTCCTCGCTTTGACAACAAGAAGAGAGCAGGAGAAAGGGGATTTCTTTTTTGGGGGGGGGTGGGAAGGGGTATAAACATAAAAGCTGCATTCCACTGCGAAGAAGAACAAAATGGCTGTGCTGTACTTTATAGCGAGCCTTGTTTTATAACGGAAATAAATGAAGGCGAACTAAACGGGATTTATGAAAGGGATAATCGTCGGGTCAGATGAGGAGAGGGAAAATAAAAGGGCGACTCCGAATACCAATATCTCAGAATACCAAATAGTCCAAAGACACTATCAAAGCAATGAGCAATTGTCGGTCTGATTAAATGGAGGAGGGGGGAGGAGGGGGGTTGTGGTGTGGGGAGAGGGAGGCAGTAAATCTCCACTTTTTTTTTTCCCATCTGGAGAATGTATGTCAGTGGGCTGCGCTATCTGCCTGCCCCACATCCCTCACTGTGGCTCAGCATCTATGGCAGTACAGTAGTGTCTTTGCCAAAGCAGTTCGTATTCTCCACGCGAGCCCAACACTTCTGGGTATTCGCCGTAAAAAAGCCGGTTGCAAGGACACAGAGAAAACTACAAGGACTGTTGTTTTAGCTTGAGGTCAATATGCTACAAAGACATCCACCGCTGCCACTGCGTGTTCAGGGTAGGGAGACTTTACGCAAGACTTTGGAACATGGCCGAGGGGATTTAGCTTAGCTCGGGTCGGGAGATGTCTGGCAGAATGAATCGCACAAAAACCCTCAGTGACATCCACGTGCAGACATTTTTACAATAGGAAACTCTGACGCCTTTTCCATTGCAAAATACTGTAAGATGTTGACCTATATATCCATTCAAGTCTGAAGAATACAGATGGGTTATATTCCCAGTATAGTATGGCTGCGGATCTCCAAAGATTCCTAATATGTATTTGGATCGTCTTGAATGACTACACGGGTGAAGAGAAAGCCAAACGTCTAATGTTAGCGGCTAATAATGAGAGAAAATGTCTTCGGCATATGGTACCAAGGCCTGTGACATCCTGTGGACTGTTTGTTCAGTGATTGGCTAGACAGTATCTTATGACAAAGAATATATTCTCTCATATTTTTAGCATTGATGATGAAAAAAGAAAAAGAAAATTAGAGTTCAAGTTAAACGTCATTGTTGTGTTTGTTTGTATTTTCCCCACTGTGGGACTAATACAGGCATCATTCAGTGGTACTGTTGTTGCATAGTCCCAATATAGTTCTAGTCCAATGTTCACGTTTTTATGTCTGCCTTTGATATTCTGAAGTAATTTGCCATTTATATATTTTTTTAAATATGTAGCTGTTGTAGCAGGGGATCATACAAGCTGTTGCATCGAAGGCAATAATACCAACAACCAATACAGAGTCATTTAATTTCTTTAATTTGTAAAACACTGTGTTCTATGTGTAGCACTTGGACATCTGCCTCATCAGTCTGAATTAAAGGACTGACTGGGATCAATAAATCTTTAGAATGTGTTTCCTTGAATTTTAAACTTTGCTCATTCTCTAAAGAATTTACGGGAATCTCCCTTTGGACATTATAATTACTCAGCGGATCCATGCCTCACAAATGGATTTAGATTAACAATTAAATGAATGTTTCCTTCATACAAAGACATCGCCACTGGACCAAAAGACATGAATTGCATTTGAGGACTTTGGCTGTAACTGTAGCTGCTACCTCTACCCCCTTTACAATACATTATATTCCTTTTGGCATTATATAAAACAGACATTATTAAAATGTACAGATGCTAACATAAAACTACACATTGCTTGCACTAGAATACACTGTACTTTTAATTTTCCTCTTATTTTGCCAAATGTAAAGATTGCATACTTCTTCATTTTATTATGTTTAAGATAATAAATGTTATACTTGTTCTTTGATGCTAGAGTTAGAGATTTTGTTTTATTTTAATTAGCTATTGTTCACTTATCTTGTGCTGTGTGCTCCTCATTCCTACTGTTCTATAACTTGTGATGCAACACGGAGATTTTAAAGGATCTCTTAATCTTTATCTTATAATTGGGTTTTCTAATTTTTCCAAAACACCTCTTTAAAAGAATGTATAAACACCCAAAAAGCTCAGTTATATTAAAATACTCATCACATTTCTCAGCCTCTCCTATTACTGTCTATATTGTTGAGTGTGAGAATAGCACTGGGTTGGCTGTGTTTGTGTGAACTGGGCTTCCTGTCCCGTGGTCGCCGTGCCAACAGCTGTAGGGGAAGTTAGAGTTCGCAGCCGTGCAAATAAATGTTTATGTACCCAGGCCTGCGCTCATGCTCGAACTGTTCCTGTCGGGTCGGCCCGTTTCCCGTCGCAGGTGTTGCAGTGAGGTCACTTCCTGTCGACCCTCCCGCTGTGCGATGTGTGCGTATCCGCGGTTACAGCCACTTCCTGCCGGTGGGAAGGGGAAGCTATAGGAAACAGGATGAGCGCACTCCGGACAGGATGGGTCAGGGAGGAGGGGTCAGTGGGAAGGAAGAGCTCCGACCCAGGAAGTAGCCCGGAGAATAGATACATGCAGCGACCATATTAGGGCATATTTGGATTTGAGTAATGATAACTGTTTTTACAAATCATTGCGTTGTACTGGTACTGAAATCAGCCAATTTTCATAACTGGTTTTGTAATTGTCATAAAAAATTAAAAATTGCAGAAATTTGACTGTGCACAACAGGTGACAACCTGCGACTCACAGAGATGTTCCTCAGTAGGATTTTTAAACTTAAATTTTCGTTGTCTATATTCTCACATGTTCGGCTCCGTTCCGTAGATATGAACGGACTGTAACTTTGTCACTTGATTGTCTCAAATGTAGATGGACAATTTAAGGCTTGGAACATTCCAGACAAAACAAATATTTAGATGAACCCTTGCAAAATGACTTCAAGACTGTGGAGGACCATTTCAGGTCACTACCTCTTGAAGCTCATCAAGAGAATGCCAAGAGTGAAGCAGTAATCAGAGCAAAAGGTGCTACTTTGAAGAACACAGAATATAAGACAGATTTTCAGTTGTTTCATACTTTTTTTTAAGTACTTATATAATTCCATATGAGTTAATTCATAGTTTTGATGCCTTCAGTGTGAATCTACAATTTTCATAATCATCAAAATAAAGAAAACTCTTTGAATGAGAAGGTTTGTCCAAACTTTTGGTCTGTACTGTACTTCAGTTCAGTGGTCCCCAACCTTTTTTGTCCTGTGTCTCCTGTGGTCAGCCTCGACAAAGCACAAGTAAACCCTGTCTTAAGCGGAAAAAAATGTCAAGCTAATTTTGGTGAAGGCCACAACTGTTTTACAACTGGTCTTTAAATGTTTATATTATGTAAGTATTTTTTTTTTACCAAATGAAGGCTTTTATTTACCTCGAGTTTTAGACTAATCAGAACATAATGATTATATGTTTGGACTGAACAAAAACTGGACCAAAAGTAAGAAAGGTTTGTTATTGCAGACTGAATAATATCATAATTAATTGTGTTCTGGGTAAATAACTAATCCTAAATTACCACCCTACCCTAGAAACCTGCATACCCCCATTTGGGAAACACAGTATTATTTTGTGCTTGATGTGACCTTTTGATCCAGCCATGATTTTTATTGTTATACCTTCGCCGGAAAAAAATTCAATCAGAATCAGAATTATTATTATATTATATTATTATTATATTTTTGTATGGCACAACTCACACACAAGGCAACTCAAAGTGCTGAACAAAACAAGATAGAAACAATCACACAAGGCATTAAAAGAACATGCAATATGTTAGAAGACACTGCATCTACTGTTACCGTTTAGCCAGAAGCACGAATGCATGAATCATGAGAAATTCAGAACCAAAACCAGGAATCGATCTGTCATAACCTGTCTCGTCGTGCAGACCGATTGCGTATGGTTTGTGGGGGCACCTCGTCAACGGCTGTGACCTCACCAAGATGAGTCGGGTCAACGTTCACGGTGACTGGTGCACATCCGCGGCTGTTTGTTTCCCTTCTTTAACCCGTCGTATTTCCCCCCACTGACAGCTCTCTTCCTCTGTTAGCTCAGCCGCGCTCGTACGGACCTGCAGGCGGAGACAGCTGTTATCCACGTACATAGCTAACATACACTCACGCTTACATACATACATTGTGGGCCATTCATTAGCCGGGTTCGGACTAGGGGGGCCAGGGGCGGGACAGGCCCAGACAGATAGCTTTACAGGCTCTGTGTTTCCGCTTGGCTCCTCTGCCCTCCAGGAACAATCCGACTCCACTGGAAAACATGCTCTTATGTCACACTTAAGACGAATGGGGGTGTTGACGTACACGTGTGAAGGTAAACGCAGCAGAATAGTTTGTCGCTATTTGGACATATTTGGAAATCCAATATGTTTTTCCATTGATGAGACCAGTCATAGAGGCTAAAGGGCAGAGACAAAATTGCGAATTATCAACCGTCAACACTATTAGGCGGGTGTGAAGTGTGTTAAAGGGGAACCGTGTACGTTTTGTTATGTTGAGCCCAAAACATAACATATGTAACCTATGTTTATGGCGCATGAGTGAGTGTTTTATGGCACTAAACCTGGTCCTTTGCCGAGTCCAGCTTGATTGGGCGAGATGCGTGTAAACTCGGTCGCAAAGAGGGTGGTGTGACATTTCTGAAACCAACACAGGTAGTTGTGTTGGCGACCAGTTTAACTTACTGCTTGAGAGGCTAAATGATGAAGTTGTTTTATACGGAGAAAGGTATTTACATTTAAGTTGTAAGGCTTTGTGTCCCATAACTTTTTCCCATTTTTCACAAGCCTTGTATACAGCTCCACACTTGTAGACTGGTTCCCTAATGGTCAGACTGAATTGGAAGCAACGCTGAATAGTCTTTTTTTTTGGCATACTTCATATTCTTATGCTTTGTAAACATACTCGACAAAACCTTGAGAAATTTGTTTCCTGATTTTTTTTTATTCAATGCCAAAAAAAACACCATTCATATGCAAATAATTTCTGGTCCGTACCCTCTGTATCTCTCGTGACTGTGTCTGGGTAATGCTGATGCTTCTTTTATTGTCTCTTTATCAGGCAGTTAGATAAGATCATCTGGTCAAATGGGCTATAATTCTCCAATACTTTTTCCCATTTTTCACAAGCTAGCCCACATGTAGACTGGTGCCCAAGTGGTCAGACTGATTTGGGAGCAACGCTGAATAGTCTTTTTTGGCATACTCCATATTCTTATACTTTGCAAACATACTCAACAAAACCTTGAGAAATTGGTTTTGCTGATTTTTTTATTCAACAAAACAAACTCTTAAGAGATTTAAAACTGAACAAAAAGCTATGTCATAGTGGAGCTATGAATAATATATTGGAAAACTTTTTTAATGGCAGAAGTTAAAGCCAAACACCACAATTGAGTATGGTGTTGCTGGTTTACGATTCAATAAATGCCAAAAAAACAACCATTAATATGCAAAGTGTTTCTGGTCTGTACCCACTGTTTCTCTCGTGGCTGTGTCCGGGTTATGGTGATGCTTCTTTTATTGTCTCTTTATTAGGCAGTCAGATAAAATCGCCTGGTCAAATGGGCTATAATTCTCCAAGTGAGTCGGCAGATACAAATCTTCATGCTCTTACGACACACAGTAAAAGTAGTGTTATCCGGGGGTCACCTCAACCGTCTCAGACTAAAAGTAAAAGTGCGAGAATGTTTGGAGCCCCTCGAGACATGTGGCCTGCATCTTTTCAGGAAATACCACTCTTCGCTCCGGATCAATTTGGAGGCAAAAAGGATATGGACGAAGAATGGTTTATCCAGTGGTAGGAAGCAACCAAATAATGCGCTTTTACTGTTTATGGTGCTGGAGGCGCAAAAGTTGGGGTGACTGTCTTTTAAAGCAATACAAATTTAACAATGTGGTAAAATCCATGTCATTAGTTCCTGGTTCTAAAACGGTTTGGTTGTATCACTGGTTTTCACTTCCATGCATTTTTGGCCTTTAGTCCAGATTTTTTCAGCTGACAACTCTCACTGTGTCATTCACCTCTCTGCCTAAAGCTTAAAATTGTGACTGCCATGGCTCTTTTTCATGTTATATTAACGTTTCTCTCATTACAGGACAATCTACTTAATGTTCAATTTGTTGGATCACTAATACTGCCGGAAATCTTGATTTTGTTTTAAGGGGAGGTGGACCCTTAAAAAAACATACAGATAAACACACAGTGCTTAATTATTTTTCAGAATATTTATAAGAAAATTTAATATAAAAATTAAAAACTCAAAATTAGCCTGGCCTTAGCTATCCGTAAACTCCCAGTGGTTGCGGCGGTTACCTCGGTTGTATCCCATCTGACCATTCAGCGAGCAGGGGAGGCGAGTGTTGTAGGGAGGTGTCGTTGAGAATTTGCGCTGAATTTGCTGGTTGTAGTTTGGCAATGGCAGCAAATACGATTGTAAAGTAATCCGTTCTAGTTCGGCTCCAAATATGAAAAAATTGAAGCCGGAGGAAGAGGAATGTTTAGCAAGTTTCATTGCTGGTCAAGACGGGCCCTATCAGTGGCAAAGGAAATGGCTAAAGCTAGGCTAAATGCTAAAGCTTGGCTAAATTCTAAAGCTAGGCTAAATGCTAAATGCCTCACTCACTCAGGCTCAATACATACGTCACAGTAAACTTAGATCCAATGGTTTCAATCTGAAAAAGAAGTTAACCCCTCGCACCTGTAAACGGAGCTCAATGGAGCAAATCCAGACCTTAGTACGAAATGAATTTAGCACAGCGGTGTGGTCAGACCAAGCTACCGCAAAAGTAGTTGCAGAGTTGAAAATTCTTCGCTCTGTACCACGGTTGAGCAGAGGTACTGTAGATGGTGGAGTTTGATAAGTATACTCGCCTCATATATATAAATATACAGTATGTTGGTATGTATGCAAAAATACACCAACAGTTGAATATTTTACTTTCACATTTGTCCCGATACAGCCACATCTACAACAGCTTCTTATATTTGACCCGAGTCCCGCTCACATCCTGCCACACTTCTTGCACATGTTACGTTTTGCACAATAAGCTTGAATGAATGAAGTAGTTGGCCGAGTTGCCTCCACTGTACTACGGGTCCAAATTCCTGTCTGCAGAAGCGTGCGCTCTCCAACAGCTGGACCGTGTAGCACTCTGGGGAAACACCGGCTGCACCAGGGAACACTGCATGGGAGACGTGGCTCTGGCCAAAATCTCCCCTCGCAAAGTTAGAATCTGACTGACGGCATGATTTGGAACGGCGATTCTAGCACATACTGTTGTATTTATGCGCAGAGTCATGGGAGGAATAAGATCTGTCAGGAGCAGAGGTGGTTTTTTGCGGCTCACGTGTTGTTTAAACGGCTGGAGCGGTGAGGCAGGCCACATTCTTCTGAGTACATGTCAGAGAGCTGCGTCTCAGAGCCAAGGACTTACACTAAACTCCGCTGAGTTTTCCCCTGGATCCAAAACAGCATGGGTAGAAAAAAGAAAGAAAAAAAAGTGTTGTCTGAATGATGTACTACTTCAGTGTGAGGCTGTCACAAGTTAATGAGTCGATTATCAATCTATCAATCAATCTTTATTATCATTACATAAACCATAATCACTGTTTAAATCACACAGTAAACTCATTTAGTCATCGATGAATCATTTTTAAACCTTTTTTAGACTTACACATGCTGTTAAGAGGTTTTATGAGTCAAAATTGTTTATGTTGACCTCTAAATGTGTTTAGAAAAAAAAAATTGTAATCAAACAAACCAATGTGTAACCAGTGGTCTTTTGGAAGATGTTCTCTGTGCGCCACATTTGAGCTTTGTTCTGGTCAAATGTATTTAAAAGATCCCGTTTTCACCGACCTTTTGGAATCTAAACAACCATTCAATTCTCAAAATGATTCTTAAAGGTGCAGTGAAGGATTCAGGTTAGCTTAGCAGTAGCCTCCGAGTAGCACTGAGTCAAAACCACTCCTCCCTTCCCCCTTCCACCAAACCCAACCAAGTTTCAATAAATCAAATAGTTATAAAGTGTATACACATTAATATGACATTGGTGGAGTTGAAAACAGAGACCAGGAGTCCAACCTGTTAACTGGGTAAACACCCTAAAATATAATTAAAATAAATATGAAGATTTATGAAACTTATGAATAAACAAATGTCACTGAGTGAACTTTGAGTAACGTCAGAAGGGGATCCACATGAGCACCTCTCCCGTCTCATCCAAGGGGAGTAGTTCAGTAATATCACCAGGAGGATCTAAACAGGACCGGCCTTTGAAGAGCTCTTGTCCTTTGGAAACTCCAGCTCCTGTGAGGCGCATTCCTTTATCAAACATTCATCAGGCACAGACGGCAGTGTGTATTTGTGAGAGACGACATGACGGAGATGGTACTGCAGTTCTTGGAAGAATTCCTCTTCATGTTATGAGAGATTATCCGGACTGAGAAAAAGTACGATATTTTTCCACATATATCACACTTTAAAGGACGTTAAAAGTTCAGGGAAAGGAGGATGTTCATAAGTGGTTTCATTAAACTGTTGAGAACTGCATCATGGGAATGGGAAGTGTCTGTGGAAAATACACCTAAGTGCAACAAAATGTGCTGTGTATGAATGTATTCTTTTAAACTGCTATGGTCACCCTGTGCGGTCCTGGGTCATCGCCCAGAGGTCAGGGAGCTTTAGGGTTTAGTGCAGTATCTTTTTCTATTTCCGAGATTGTTCCAGAGATCTGCTGTAGCCCCTCCTCCAGTTTGGGGGTCACTGCCCGAGTGCTTCCATCACAAAGGGGACTACTGCCACTTTTACCTTCCGGGCCCACTTCATATCCTTTGTTCCTGATGTTACCGTCACTTGGAATTGCCACATTTAACTTCACAACTTTCCTTTGCCCTTTGTCGACTCAGGATCTGTATCTGGAAGTCCCACAGGATCTGCCCTCGCTCATTCTCTACCACCTTTGGAGAGGTCTCCCATCTTGACTTTGGACTTTCCAGACCATACTCCGCACAGATGGTCCTGTATACTATATTAGTCACCTGGTCATAGTATTCCATGTAAGGCTTTCCCTATCAGCATCTTGCTTATGTATTTTGCCGCCCACACTTTAGGACTGTAAATTACCTTAATTAAT